AGGGGAGCACTACACACTGGGGTCAGTTGGGGGGAAATAGGGGAGGGACGGTGGGGGGTAGGGAGCTGGGGAGAGATAGCAAGGGGAGAAATGCCAGATGTAGGTGATGGGGAGGAGGGCAGCAAATCACACTGCCACGTGTGTACCTATGCAACAATTTTCCATGTTCTTCACATGTACCCCAAAACCTAAAATGCAATAAAATAAATAAATGGGGAAAAAATAAAATAAAATAAAAATAAACAAAACAAAACAAAACAAAAGTATCCCATTACATTAAAAAAAAGTTTCCATGCCTATGGAGCCCAGGATGAGGTTTAAAAAAAAAAACAAAAAAACTTTTAGCCAGGCATAGTGGCTCACATCTGTAATCCCAGCACTTTGGGAGGCCGAGGTGGGTGGATCACCTGAGGTCAGGAGTTCAAGATCAGCCTGACCAACATGGTGAAACTGTGTCTCTGCTAAAAATATAAAAATTAGCTGGGCATGGTGGCAGGCACCTGTAATCCCAGCCACTCGGAGACTGAGGCAGGAGAATCATTTGAACCCAGGAAGCGGAGGTTGCAGTGAACCAAGATCACGCCATTCCACTCCAGCCTAGGCAACAAGAATGAAACTCCATCTCAAAAACAAAAACACAAACTTACATTGACTCCTTCAGAAATGTGTTTTACTATTATTCCTTTCTATATTATTTACTATACTCCCTATGCACTTAGTAAAATACATTAAGCCTATACAAAATTAAGCCTAATAAAATTTTGAAGTTCTCAATATAAGTTCAAATAAGGGTTTATGTGAGTCTTTCCAAGTCATAGGCTAATCATTTCACTGAAACAAAAACTAAGGCTACTGCTTCAGACAAGATAGAATAACAGGGAATGAATTTACTCTTCAGCTTGAAACAACTAAAAAAATCAGTCAAAAATATAAAGAAATAAGAGTTCTCAAGAAACTTAATATCCATTTCTGTAAAACAGAATCAAGCCAAGCCCGACAGCTGTCCTGGCTTATAGCTTACAGAAAGTTTCTTCCCTGCAAAGAAAACATAGATAGTGCCTAGCTATATCCCTAAGAGAAAGAAGCAAATGTGGGAGGTCCAGTGTAATAAGATGGCTACTTTGCAAGGCAAATTACTGGAAAACAGCTGCACAGAGAGAACTCCTGGTGTTCTAGGAAAGCTTTCTTGTAACAACCATGCAGTGATCAAGTTCTCAACATGATCTGAGGTTAGGGAAGACACATTAAAAAATTAGAGGTAACAGTGCTCAGTGCTCATATGGCATGGAACAGTGACATTAATCAGAGTGGAAAACTTCAAGATACATGTGACATCAGGGTAGAGTACTAAGAAAGGTCTTTCCTCAATAGTGGGGAAAACTAACCCTAGACTAAATACTGTTCTGATTCCACCTAACAAAGTTTAAGAGCAAGACACGAAAATAACAAACTGTTTGCAAGCTACTTAACTGCATGCCAGAAAAAACTCAAAACATTTCCAAGAATACAAAAATATCTAGCTCTCAGAAAGTAAAACTGACAATGTCTAGAATCCAATAAAATACCAGGTACGCAAAGAAATAGGAAAATAAGACTAATGAGAAAAAAAAAAACCCGAAACAGAGATGACAGAATTAGTAAACAATTTAAAGTTATTATATCCATGTCATAAATTCAAAAAACTACAAGAACGATTGAACATTTTAGGCAAAAACATGAAAGATACTTTTAAAAATATCTTATTTATTGACCAAATAAAAGTATCATTTTTCATTAGCCTCATAAGACAACTCTGTGTTTAACACACATGAATTTTTATTGCATCTGTAACTGTTCTGCACATGAACTGTTATTTAAGATTCTCTTGTATTTCGTACTATAATAATGTATGTGATATATAAGAAGGCAACGCTTTGGCAGAAGTGAAGTAGAAAAGGACAAAAGAAAAGCATATAAGTCTTTAAAGAAAAGGAGGTGGTGGTGATCATTTCTGATGACCCAAATCAGCCATCTAGAGATGGAAGCTACAGTGTTTTATACGAAAAACACACTGGATGAGAGTAACAGCAGGCTAAACACTACAGAAGAAAAGGTTAGTAAAATTGAAGACAGCAATAATGTTAAAGTCAAAAATAACATAAATT